TACACACCTTTACTGAGGGAAAACATGTCCTTATACAGACCTTTACAGAGGGGAAAACATGTCCTTATACAGACATTTACAGAGGGAAAACATGTCCTTGTGCAGACCTTTACAGAGGGAAAACATGTCCTTATATAGACCTTTACAGAGGGAAAACATGTCCTTATATAGACCTTTACAGAGGGAAAACATGTCCTTATATAGACCTTTACAGAGGGAAAACATGTCCTTGTACAGACCTTTAAAGAAGGACAACATGCCCTTGTGCAGACATTTACAGACCTTTACAGAGGGAAAACAGGTCCTTATACAGACCTTTACAGAGAGAAAACATGTCCTAATACAGACCTTTACAGAGATAAAACATGTCCTGATACAGACCTTTACAGAGCAAAAACATGTCCTTATATAGACCTTTACAGAGGGAAAACATGTCCTTATATAGACCTTTACAGAGGGAAAACATGTCCTTGTACTGACCTTTACAGAGGGAAAACATGTCCTTATATAGACCTTTACAGAGGGAAAACATGTCCTTGTACAGACCTTTAAAGAAGGACAACATGCCCTTGTGCAGACATTTACAGACCTTTACAGAGGGAAAACAGGTCCTTATACACACCTTTACTGAGGGAAAACATGTCCTTATACAGACCTTTACAGAGGGGAAAACATGTCCTTATACAGACCTTTACAGAGGGAAAACATGTCCCTGTACAGACCTTTACAGAGGGGAAAACAGGTCCTTATACACACCTTTACTGAGGGGAAAACAGGGGAAAACATGTCCTTACAGAGGGAAAACATGACCTTATACGGAAAACATGTCCTTATACAGACCTTTACAGAGGGAAAACATGACCTTATACAGACCTTTACAGAGGGAATACATGTCCTTATACAGACCTTTACAGAGGGAAAACATGTCCTAATACAGACCTTTAAAGAGGGGAAAATATGTAATTATACAAACCTTTACAAAGGGAAAACAGGTCCTTATACAGACCTTTACAGAGCAAAAACATGTCCTTATACAGACCTTTACAGAACAAAAACATGTCCTTGTACAGATCATAGAGAGGAATCCTGTATAAAATACAAAATGAAAAACTCATAGAGAGGAATCCTGTCCTTACATCGAGAGGAATCCTGTCCCTGTACAAGCCCTCATAGAGAGGAATCCTGTCCCTGAACAAACCCTCATAGAGAGGAATCCTGTCCCTGTATAGAGAGGAATCCTGTCCCTGTACAAACCCTCATAGAGAGGAATCCTGTCCCTGTACAAACCCTCATAGAGAGGAATCCTGTCCCTGTACAAACCCTCATAGAGAGGAATCCTGTCCCTGTACAAACCCTCATAGAGAGGAATCCTGTCCCTGTATAAACCCTCAAAGAGAGGAATCCTGTCCCTGTATAGAGAGGAATCCTGTCCCTGTACAAACCCTCATAGAGAGGAATCCTGTCCCTGTACAAACCCTCATAGAGAGGAATCCTGTCCCTGTACAAACCCCAATAGAGAGGAATCCTGTCCCTGTACAAACCCTCATAGAGAGGAATCCTGTCTCTGTATAAACCCTCATAGAGAGGAATCCTGTCCCTGTACAAACCCCAATAGAGAGGAATCCTGTCTCTGTACAAACACCAATAGAGAGGAATCCTGTCCCTGTACAAACCCTCATAGAGAGGAATCCTGTCCCTGTACAAACCCTCATAGAGAGGAATCCTGTCCCTGTACAAACCCTCATAGAGAGGAATCCTGTCTCTGTATAGAGAGGAATCCTGTCTCTGTATAGAGAGGAATCCTGTCCCTGTACAAACCCTCATAGAGAGGAATCCTGTCTCTGTATAGAGAGGAATCCTGTCTCTGTACAAACCCTCATAGAGAGGAATCCTGTCCCTGTATAGAGAGGAATCCTGTCCCTGTACAAACCCTCAAAGAGAGGAATCCTGTCCCTGTATAGAGAGGAATCCTGTCCCTGTGCAAACCCTCATAGAGAGGAATCCTGTCTCTGTACAAACCCTCATAGAGAGGAATCCTTTCTCTGTACAAACCCTCATAGAGAGGAATCCTGTCCCTGTACAAACCCTCATAGAGAGGAATCCTGTCTCTGTACAAACCCTCATAGAGAGGAATCCTGTCCCTGTACAAACCCTCATAGAGAGGAATCCTGTCTCTGTACAAACCCTCATAGAGAGGAATCCTGTCTCTGTATAGAGAGGAATCCTGTCCCTGTACAAACCCTCATAGAGAGGAATCCTGTCCCTGTACAAACCCTCATAGAGAGGAATCCTGTCTCTGTACAAACCCTCATAGAGAGGAATCCTGTCTCATAGAGAGGAATCCTGTCCCTGTACAAACCCTCATAGAGAGGAATCCTGTCCCTGTACAAACCCTCATAGAGAGGAATCCTGTCTCTGTACAAACCCTCATAGAGAGGAATCCTGTCTCTGTACAAACCCTCATAGAGAGGAATCCTGTCCCTGTACAAACCCTCATAGAGAGGTATAGAGAGGAATCCTGTCTCTGTACAAATCCTCATAGAGAGGAATCCTGTCTCTGTACAAACCCCAATAGAGAGGAATCCTGTCTCTGTACAAACCCTCATAGAGAGGAATCCTGTCCCTGTACAAACCCTCATAGAGAGGAATCCTGTCTCTGTACAAACCCCAATAGAGAGGAATCCTGTCTCTGTACAAACCCCAATAGAGAGGAATCCTGTCTCTGTACAAACACCAATAGAGAGGAATCCTGTCCCTGTACAAACCCTCATAGAGAGGAATCCTGTCTCTGTACAAACCCTCATAGAGAGGAATCCTGTCTCTGTACAAATCCTCATAGAGAGGAATCCTGTCCCTGTACAAACCCTCATAGAGAGGAATCCTGTCTCTGTACAAACCCTCATAGAGAGGAATCCTGTCTCTGTATAGAGAGGAATCCTGTCCCTGTACAAACCCTCATAGAGAGGAATCCTGTCTCTGTATAGAGAGGAATCCTGTCCCTGTACAAGCCCTCATCGAGAGGAATCCTGTCTCTGTACAAACCCTCATAGAGAGGAATCCTGTACAAATCCTCATAGAGAGGAATCCTGTATAAACCCTCATAGAGAGGAATCCTGTCCCTGTACAAACCCTCATAGAGAGGAATCCTGTCCCTGTACAAACCCCAATAGAGAGGAATCCTGTCTCTGTACAAACGTATCCTGTCTCTGTATAAACCCTCATAGTGAGGAATCCTGTACAAACCCTCATAGAGAGGAATCCTGTCTCTGTACAAACCCTCATAGAGAGGAATCCTGTCTCTGTATAGAGAGGAATCCTGTCTCTGTACAAACCCTCATAGAGAGGAATCCTGTCTCTGTACAAACCCTCATAGAGAGGAATCCTGTCTCTGTACAAACCCTCATAGAGAGGAATCCTGTCTCTGTACAAACCCTCATAGAGAGGAATCCTGTCTCTGTACAAACCCTCATAGAGAGGAATCCTGTCCCTGTATTGAGAGGAATCCTGTCCCTGTACAAACCCCAATAGAGAGGAATCCTGTCTCTGTACAAACCCTCATAGAGAGGAATCCTGTCTCTGTACAAACCCTCATAGAGAGGAATCCTGTCTCCGTACAAATCCTCATAGAGAGGAATCCTGTCTCTGTACAAACCCTCATAGAGAGGAATCCTGTCTCTGTACAAACCCTCATAGAGAGGAATCCTGTCTCTGTAAAACCCCTGTCTCTGTACAAACCCTCATAGAGAGGAATCCTGTCTCTGTATAGAGAGGAATCCTGTCTCTGTACAAACCCTCATAGAGAGGAATCCTGTCTCTGTACAAACCCTCATAGAGAGGAATCCTGTCTCTGTACAAACCCTCATAGAGAGGAATCCTGTCTCTGTACAAACCCTCATAGAGAGGAATCCTGTCTCTGTACAAACCCTCATAGAGAGGAATCCTGTCTCTGTACAAACCCTCATAGAGAGGAATCCTGTCTCTGTACAAACCCTCATAGAGAGGAATCCTGTCTCTGTACAAACCCTCATAGAGAGGAATCCTGTCTCTGTACAAACCCTCATAGAGAGGAATCCTGTCTCTGTACAAACCCTCATAGAGAGGAATCCTGTCTCTGTACAAACCCTCATAGAGAGGAATCCTGTCTCTGTACAAACCCTCATAGAGAGGAATCCTGTCTCTGTACAAACCCTCATAGAGAGGAATCCTGTCTCTGTACAAACCCTCATAGAGAGGAATCCTGTCTCTGTACAAACCCTCATAGAGAGGAATCCTGTCTCTGTACAAACCCTCATAGAGAGGAATCCTGTCTCTGTACAAACCCTCATAGAGAGGAATCCTGTCTCTGTACAAACCCTCATAGAGAGGAATCCTGTCTCTGTACAAACCCTCATACAAACCCTCATAGAGAGGAATCCTGTCTCTGTACAAACCCTCATAGAGAGGAATCCTGTCTCTGTACAAACCCTCATAGAGAGGAATCCGGACCCAGGACAAAGCATCTAGAGAGGAATCCTGTCTCTGTACAAACCCTCATAGAGAGGAATCCTGTCTCTGTACAAACCCTCATAGAGAGGAATCCTGTCTCTGTACAAACCCTCATAGAGAGGAATCCTGTCTCTGTATAGAGAGGAATCCTGTCCCTGTACAAACCCTCATAGAGAGGAATCCTGTCCCTGTACAAACCCTCATAGAGAGGAATCCTGTCCCTGTACAAACCCTCATAGAGAGGAATCCTGTACAAACCCTCATAGAGAGGAATCCTGTCCCTGTACAAACCCTCATGACTAGTAAACACTGAAGGAGAAAGAGCCGTGTATATTACCAAGAAGTGGTAGACAACCTTTAACAACCCCCGATGGTGGCAAGAAAAACTCGCAAACTATTGTTTCAGCAGCTTGTTTATATAGAGCCAATAGACAGATTGGCAAAAATACAAAGAAGAAAATCATGTGATGCTGGTAGACTGCCAATGGTTGGTCGAGGGAATCCCTGGGGACATGAGCCAATGACAGGACTTGTACTTATGGACTACTACTGTGTCACGTAGATGTAACCTCCAAGGACATCTGCCAATGGTGATGGTTGTACTAAAGGGCCACTGGATCACATAACACTGGGATTAGGTGAGAGATAAAAAGTGCCAAATAAGACAGCCTTGATATGGCTTTTGTCATACCGCCATATGATAAAAGCAAATTCCCTTCACTCCTTGTTTCATAGATGACTTGGGTCATACTTTCAAACAAACATGATGGAAAAACTGAAGACACAGGTTTGGCTGCTAACCAAAACATCAATATCCCCTGCTGCCATCCTTCCTTTACTGGACACACAAGTGAGTATCAGGAATTTTCACACAATCATAAATTTCTAGTAGATACATGTACATGTATGATTTTATGTGGACCTCCTTACACTGACCTCTAACTTTATCTAAACCTCTTTACACTGACCTCTGACTTTATATAAACCTTCTTACACTGACCTCTGACTTTATCTAAATCTCCTTACACTGACCTCTGACTTTAACTAAACCTCCTTACACTGACCTCTGACTTTATCTAAACCTCCTTACACAGACCCCGGACTTCATCTAAACCTCCTTACACAGACCCCTGTCTTTATCTGGATTTCCTGACAGATGGTTGACGAGGTAGACAGACATCAGTGTTTATATACAATAGCTGATAAGTGATTTAACCAACAGAAGAATAGCATGTACTTAGTTCCCAATGCTGTATTGTTTTTATAGAGTGTTAATGCTGAAGCTCCTGACATACCTACTTTGTGGTGAGTTACAATGAACCTGCAAACAACAATGAAAAGTCTCCCAGGACTGAAGAATACAGTAAAGATCCTGCTAGTCTGTATACATTTCTTATTGACTTTTCCAACTCTACATAAATCACATATACCATTAAGGGAATGGAGTTGTGTCAGATTAGAAACTGTCAATACTTGGAAATTAATAAAAACTAAGTATAGAATTAGGATGACTTAAAATATGTAGAGGTAAAAAAAACATTCTTTTAAAACACACTACTACCCATATTGAACAGCAATCTGATTCTCTGTCTATAAACTGGCCCTAGGTAAAGGCATGAAAGAAAGATTTTTTTCTTCGAATTTAGAGAACAACCTAAACATGATTAATGATACTTCTAATTAAGTATGGAAGTCACTTGATAATTCTTTGATTTCAAAATATCACCCATCATAATGCAGCGATTCTCATGAAAATGTATATTTTTCATGAAGATGTTTACACTGTGATAACACATTAATCCACTAAAAAATAATAATTGTTTAGTTGAAACACAAGTAGCCAAAGCTGTATGTTAAAGCACATTAGAGTTACCTTCCTTATTCTACTCAATGCTGAGAAATGAAAACACACGAGAGTTACCTCCCTTGGTCTGTCACAAGAACATTACTTCTTATATATAAGGTAATGCAGACAAAGACTATATCATAAGACATGCTATAGTGGTGATGAGGATGAACAAAGTTGTTTCATAAGACACAAAGTGCCATGGTAAAGACTTAGAAAGTTGTAGCATAAGACACAAAGTACCAGTGACAAAGACTTACAAAGTTGTAGCATAAGACACAAAGTACCATGGACAAAGACTTACAAAGTTGTAGCATAAGACACAAAGTACCATGGACAAAGACTAATGATAACTGATGAAGAATATTGTATCTATACATACAGTATCCTTGACGAAGACTAAGAACGTATCATTACACACACAGTATTGTGGATAAAGACAATATCATTAGACACTAATAATGTTGCATTATTTGACATGGTTTCCTAAAAAAGAACTTATAATGTATAATATGGATGTAATGGGGATAGAACATATAGGATAATTTGCAGCAGAAGTTACTAATATGGTTCTTACATAATAAGTTCCAGGCTAAGAATATATATAGAAGACCCTTTACTACACTACCTAGACTGTCAAGACTCATCCACATCATAAAAGATAAGAAATCACACCTCTGTGAACTGCTGAAGAAACCTGTAATCAAAAGTTATAGAATGGTTGTATGTAAACATTGCATAGATATGTCAGTGATGCAGTGTAATAACCTGTAGGACAGTACATTCTACCTGTATGACAGTACACTCTATCTGTTTGACAGTACATACTACCTGTAGGACAGTACATTCTACCTGTAGGACAGTACATACTACCTGTATGACAGTACATACTACCTGTAGGACAGTACATACTACCTGTATGACAGTACATACTACCTGTAGGACAGTACATACTACCTGTATGACAGTACATTCTACCTGTATGACAGTACATACTACCTGTAGGACAGTACATTCTACCTGTAGGACAGTACATTCTACCTGTAGGACAGTACATACTACCTGTATGACAGTACACTCTATCTGTTTGACAGTACATACTACCTGTATGACAGTACATTCTACCTGTATGACAGTACATACTACCTGTATGACAGTACATTCTACCTGACAGTACATACTACCTGTAGGACAGTACATACTACCTGTATGACAGTACATTCTACCTGTATGACAGTACATACTACCTGTATGACAGTACATACTACCTGTAGGACAGTACATACTACCTGTAGGACAGTACATACTACCTGTATGACAGTACATACTACCTGTATGACAGTACATTCTACCTGTATGACAGTACATACTACCTGTATGACAGTACATACTACCTGTATGACAGTACATTCTACCTGTATGACAGTACACTCTACCTGTATGACAGTACATTCTACCTGTTTGACAGTACATACTACCTGTATGACAGTACATTCTACCTGTATGACAGTACATACTACCTGTATCTGTATGACAGACTAGTACAGTACATTCTACCTGTATGACAGTACATACTACATGTATGACAGTACATTTTACCTGTATGACAGTATATTCTACCTGTATGACAGTACATACTATCTGTATGACAGTACATTCTACCTGTATGGTAGTACATACTACCTGTACGACAGTACATTCTACCTGTATGACAGTACATTCTACCTGTATGACAGTACACTCTATCTGTTTAACAGTACATACTACCTGTATGACAGTACATTCTACCTGTATGACAGTACATTCTACCTGTATGACAGTACATACTACCTGTGTAACAGTAAATTCCCCTGTAAGAAAGCTGTCAGATATACAGGTATTCTGTCATTGTATTTATCCTTTCAGGTTACATGTTAACTGTTAAAATTTGCTGTTACCATAGATTGTCAATAGGCATGTCAGAAGTAAGTAGAAATGTGAAGGATATACAAGGCACAGGAAAGGAAAGAAAATGTAATCATACAGCAGTTAGTATCATCAGTCCATACCACCAGTGTTTATTCTTTATAAAGTGTTGCTTGTTAAACATTGGTGCTGTACACTGTATGATAATGTTTACAAATCATATGTGTATGATGAGGTATCATACACTTTATTGTGTGATGATGTATGTATCTTACCTGTAAGATGTCTGTTTATGGAAAGAAAACTGAGGATGTTTGGTCACATCTTCATTGTCACTGTCAGATGGGATGCTGGAGCATTCTGCCATCCTCTCAAAGAACGTGTCCTTCTCTTCATAGAGCATTCATAATAACATCACTTAGGCTGTAACATAGGAAATACCATCAAACATTAATGAGGCAAACATTGGAATAGGGTAATGTGGTCAACATTACAGCACTAATATCTCACACAGCAATCACCCACAATCTAATATATATATCAGCAACATTCATCCAATCCTTCTGTATGTTTTAGTGTCAGAAAACAAGAGGTCCTCAGGGCCTGCATTGCTCACCTGGCTAATTCAGCTATTCAGCCACTTATTTAAGAATTTCAAACAAGACAAACAATGTCCAATATAATTTCCTTGATTGGGTCCCAACCTTATGGTCAAAAAGGGGTCAAATTTACCATTCATAAAAATTGTTTCAGATCAAACTTGTCCTGGTATGGAAGAAGGACTTTTAAGATCTTCAATTTCCAAATCTGGGCCCACCTCTCCTACCCTTTGGGGGCAAAATACAGTTTATACAGAATTTAGTCCCCTTATCCCATTAATACTTCAGACCAAATTTGGCCAAAATCCATTCATTCTTATAGGAAGAGGAAGATTTTAAATAACTTGCAATATTTACCCTTTTGGACCCCACCCCTGAGGCCCTTGGAAACTGAGAACCATTCTTTCCACAAACATTATTTCCCTTCCCTAAAGAATACTTCTAACTTTTTTTTAAGGATTTACTCAATTTTTCCTAATGGGGCCCTTCCCACCCCAGAGGACTGAGACCCATCATTTATACAAAATTAATATCCTTGCATTAAACAACAATGCTTCAGGCTAAATTTGGTCAAAATTCAATCATTCTTCTAGGTGAAGTAGAATTTTTAAAAAAATTGCTCTATTTCCTCTATTGGGCACCGTCTCTCCCGCCAATACCATCCCCTGGGGCCGAGACCTACAATTTATACAAAATTGATTCTCCCAACAATTCTTCAAATTTAGGCAAAATCCAATCATTCCTACAGGAGGAGCAGGATTTTAAATTTCTCCTTTTGGGACTGCCCTGCAATGCCCCTAGGGGCCAAGACACATCATTTACAAAAAATGTGTTCTGTTTTCTCTAGGGATGATTCTGACCAAATTTGATCAACATTCTGTAAGTGGTTAATGACTAGTAACAATTTGTATGAAAATGATGATGGATGGATGACAGATGTCGTGGTATACCATAAGGGCCCAAAATATTCAATATATATCAGCAGCAGTCATAATATCCCAATATTTATCTAGTGACAATATATAACAATATTGTCTAGTGTCTATATAGAACAATATTGTCTAGTGTCTATATAGAACAATATTGTCTAGTGTCTATATTGTCTAGTGTCTATATGGAACAATATTTATCTAGTGACAATATATAACAACATTGTCTAGTGTCTATATAGAACAATATTTATCTAGTGACAATACACCACAATATTGTCTAGTGTCTATATAGAACAATATTTATCTAGTGACAATATATAACAATATTGTCTAGTGTCTATATATAACAATATTGTCTAGTGTCTATATAGAACAATATTTATCTAGTGACAATACACCACAATATTGTCTAGTGACAATATATAACAATATTGTCTAGTGTCTATATAGAACAATATTTATCTAGTGACAATGCACCACAATATTGTCTAGTGTCTATATATAACAATATTGTCTAGTGTCTATATATAACAACATTGTCTAGTGTCTATATATAACAATATTTATCTAGTGACAATACACCACAATATTGTCTAGTGTCTATATATAACAATATTGTCCAGTGACATTATATCTCAATATTTGTGTAGTGATATTACATCACAATATTAGTCTAATGACTGATATATATATATATATACATATTAGATAACTTGTATATATAGATCCAAGTGTGTACTGATTTGTCCGAGTCACTGACTGATTTGAGGACAGTCACCAACAGAGATATAATATATGGAGAATAACGATCACCTGTCTTCTGTGTGCCACTACTCCAACTGGGTTGTCATGGAAACATGATATTGATAACTTCTCCTGAAAGCTCAGTAATGCACCTGAATATTTGAACTGGCAAGAAAGCAGATACATATGTGGAGATGATGGGAAAATCAGGAATTAGTCATCAGCCCCAGCAACCTGGTCTACAACACTATAATCAGCCATCTTTATCGTCTGCTGGCTACCTCCTAGGTAACTCTACAGCTAAACCTCGGGTTGGTGGAAAAAGATTACCAATCATTGAAAACTCATCCTACCATTAAACCACAATAATCAGAAGTTCTTGTAATATTGTTTCACATCAAATATTGATGGATCCTATCTAATGTGGTTGATATCATATCAAAGATACCTATATACTATCTCACTATCTAATGTTA